GGTGCGTGCTGGCGTGCAGTGCGTGCGGTGCGCGCTGCTGCCTGGCGGTGCGTGCTGCGCGCCATGGTGCTGCTGCCGTGCGGTGCCGGGCGTGTGCATGGTGTGTGCTGCCGTGCGGTGCGTGCGGTGTGCGCTGCTGCCTGGCGATGCGTGCTGCGCGCTATCGGCGGTGCATGCTGCAGTGCTGCCAGGCAGTGCCCACTGTTGTGCGGCCTGTTGTGCGGGCTGCTGCCTATGACTGCGCCGCGGTGCCTTGCCGGATGGTGTGACCATAACAGTGTACACCTCTGAAGATTGGAGGATATCCAGCAGATCCAAAGATAGTGGGACTGTACATATCTGAACTCCATTGTGGCCATGAACCAGCAACTGAAGAAAAATAAATCTGCCCCCTCAAGGCTGCAAACATGGGATGATCAGTTGATGATAATAGTTGGTGCTGCCCTACCAAAGAAAAGGGTAAATTACATACACCCTCCCTAATGACACTTAGCCCTCTGAACTTTTTTTGCCACAAACAGCCCCTGTACTTCAAGGTACCATCACATCGTCCCTGCCATTACCATTTTGTCAGTCAAATACTTGGAATATGTGGGGTTTTACATCTCTAAGACCCCAAACTACCCTTAGATTGTATGTTAAGTCCATTTTGCTTTTCTAACCAACTTTTTCCTTTCTAAATGCAAACTCATGGATGGTGTTTATTTCTTTTTAAAAACCACAAAAAAACATATATTTCATTAAAAGAAAATCATAAATTACAGAAAAACAGAATTTGCAAAAAAAAAAGAAATGGAAATTGATGGAAAATATCAGAAAAACACAAAAATTCATAAAAACATAGAATATTTCAGATATAATGCAGAAAATACACAGTAATTCATGAAATCTATATTTCAGAAAAATGCAGAAATTCAAAAAAACATAGAAATTGCATATAATTTATAAAAAAAATATTGCAGAAAATTTAGAAAAAACGGAAATTAATAGAAACCTCAGAAATAGTGAAAAATAAAAAATTGATAGAAAATATCAAAAAATTGCAAAAAAAATCATAAACCATATATATATATATATATATACATAAATACATATATATATACAAAAAATTTAGAAAATAAATGCAGAAATTGCAGGAAAAAAATAAAATCATAAAAGCACAATAATTGCAAAAAAAACATTCAAAAATTACAGAAATGAAAACGGAAATTCATAGAAGCCATTTTTCAGCCAAAACAAAGTAGAAATTGAAGAAAAAGACATAAACTCATAAAAACAATATATTTCATAGAAATTGCAAAATTTTCATGAAGAAACACAAAATGTCATAAAATACCCCAACAAGCTATATATTTCAGTAAGAAAGTAACAAATTGCAGAAAACATGGAAGTTGCAAAAAATATAAAAAATTGCAAGAAAGCACAGAAATTCATAAAACCCATATATTTGAGAACAAAACATAGAAATGGGCCAACATTGGGTGATGGCCTTTATACATGGAATATGAAACAGGATTCATGTGGCTGATGCCATATAGTTGGGATAAGACTTAGATGATTATGGTGTTGATGATACAAGAAATATGAAACAAGATTCAATCAAGTACTGTAGACTAAAATGATTACAAACCCCTGGGCACCTTTTAAAGGAAATTAAAACATGGAATCCATTTCTGCTGAACTGTTTGTTAAGAAGAGTCTCTAAGATGCCTATCTATGAAGTTCTGCAAATATCAAATTGAAAAATGGATGAAATAAGGAACTTCCGAGAATGGTAATTACTTCCAAACTATTAGATTTGCACATGATCCCCAGGTTTCAATGATTAAAAAATTATGAGATGACATTAGAAAAACAGTTTAAATGATTTGTGCATCTTAGAGGACTGTCAAAAATTGATTAAAAGGTGTCTAGGCTTAATCTTGAGGCTTGCCTCAAGGGGAGGCCAAGGAAAACACTCTAAGCCTCAACCTTAGGTTGCATAAATGGACATGGCACTTGACTCATACCTCAACATGCCTTATGTCAACAATTTGTGTTTCAGACAATAACGGAGTAACAGAAGCAGGGTTTTCATCATAACACTGATTTGAAAACAAAGTCCAAGTTCTCTTTTGTTTTTTCTTTTTTTTCTTTTAATTTTTCTGTGTCTGTGTGTGCATGTTTGGAATTTGTTAAAACCTTTAGATTTTATATCATTTTAGGTTTTTGTTTTATATTAAGAACTTTCCAATTTTGAAAGATTTATAAATTAGAATGTAACTTTTCTTTTAAATCTATTAGTACATTATGGTCCTTGTTTGTATGATAATTTTCTTATGACATTCTTCATATATACAAATATATCATATATGAAAATATAGTATTGGAAGATCCTAACACATTTCTTTACACTTTTTCCTTTTTAAAGCATTGCCATCAATAACTGGACAAACTCATGGGATGTAGATGTGAAACAGCAGTAAGATGATTTGTATTATCGTATATATCATCTAATAAACTTAACTTTCCATTTTAATAATTCTTATTCTAAAATTTGTTTGTTGTCTTAATATTTGCTTAAAGAATGTCTTTACACCTGTTCTGACTACCTATAAGAACACCCAATCCTTTATATCCATTTAAATAAACAGGGACCATGCTGTTACTTAAGCTTACCAGAAGAAAATCCTTAATTCTGATACCATGAATAATGAATATGTGCTCCTCTTTAAAAAAAGTCATTTTTATGTTTCCAGAACTTTTGAAATGTACCTGCAATGGACAGTGGCTTTTTGTTTAATTTTCTGCCTGATCATGTATATTTGTATTTTAACATTTTTAATTTTCAAAACTTAATTGACAGTGTATTGAACGGGGTATTTCTTCTACATCTACTGAACCAACAACATGACAGATGCAAATTAGAGCTGCAGTTATTAGTTTAAGCAGGTATGATCCTCATAAATATCTGATGATTTTGCTATGTTTAGTGTTCTTTATACATCACATTGAAGGCTTTTTACCAAATTAGTTCCTTGGAGAGGAAAAAAAACTCTCATGTCTTGTTTTAGAAAACTGGAAGTGCCATCTTGAGTCAAACAAATATTATGTTCGTCTTCAGAAGAAGAGCATAAGTGCGGTTATTGTTTCTTCTGCCAGATCAAATAATGCTTGAGTGGAAAAAAAGAGTATGTAGGATGAGAAAAGAAAAACAGTTAACATATAAAGCAATAATAAGTGCTATATTTCTTTGAATTGATGTTTTTCTTGATCATATAGGACATTATCAACATGATAATACAATATGATCTTTACAGAGTTCTACAAGTTTTATGGGGGTCAACCTCTAAACCCTTCTAATTATGTCTGGAAGATGATATAAAATAAATCAGGGCACTGGAACAAGGTGGGGTTACATGGAGACAAGCTGTTGAATGTTGAATGGATAAATGCCAGAAGGTGGACGAGCAAATGATCTTTGTGCTACAGTCATCTTGACAACCTCTGTTGGTTGGATGAAGGCTGTCCCAGAAGTAAGAATTCCTGTTATCACATGGCGATGTTCCAGCAATACAGTTCCTTTGCAAGTTTCCAACTCTACAGCATCCTTGTCAAGTGACTGAGAAACCTGTGATCTGAAATAGTTAGCGTGTCATTGGATGGATCAACCCAGCTAAATTGGAGAACTGGCAGATTTAAACGATTTGTTAGAATTCCTTGTTAGATTATCCGTCTGTATGTAATGAAGGGACCTTTTTTTACATGCTGATTAGCCCATCCTCTGAACCCCATAACACTACCCCCCTCAACCCTGATGAAAGCGGGTATAGATCCCAAGTCTCCTACACAACCATCCACAGACCGTACCAACGGAGCCAATTGGCACATTCATTAAGGGGCCTAATTAGTCACTTAAAAAGACATTATTTATAATATTCTCCTTCTCGAGTAACGTATTACTTGGGGGATGACCAAAGACACATTTGGATATCTGATTATTAGGTTGTGTGCATAGTTTACAGAAAATGTTGAAGTAATTTGATGGCATGACTCCTTATTGCAGAGATACTTTCTATCTTTCCTATCACAGCTGTAGATTGTACTTCTGTAGAGTGCAATTGCAATGTGCTGTCATGAAAACATTTGAGGTAGCCTCGTATGCTTAGTAGTCTTAGTGGCCAATCAGGTACCAATTTGATATGAGAGGTCTTGCATGAAGAAATGGCATGCCTCCTGTCCATAACTAAAATGCCTAATTGACCAGTGGTGTTGATGGCCCATCTTCAGTTACTAAAATGTAGGGAGCAGAGCAGTTCCTACAGTCGGACCCGGTGCACTCTTTTCTGCTCTACTTATCTTGCTCTTCCATTCAGTCTGACAGGTGTCCCACTACATGCGTGGTTTCATATGCATGGGAATTTACAAACGTATAATGGGACACCTGTCAAAGACTGAATGGAAGTGTATGATAAGTGTAGAAGATCCAGACTCCCTACATAATTTCTATCATCTGAAAGTGGTCATCTCCACGATAGAGGATTAGAGGGTAGGATCAGCAATGGATGTAGGGACAGACCTATTCCAAGTTGTTGTCAACTCTCCGAGTATGTTTAATAATCGTTCTTGTCCACTGGTAATGCAATGTGATTGATCAGCCAGTGACCTCTACATTTTGGGCTTTGAATTCATGGGGCCGTTTGAACAGCTGAGTCCACTAATAAACTTAAACTAATGTACTGAAGCTCACCAAATATGCGGCCATTTTAGTTATTATTTTTCAATGCTTTTCTTGGGCATTTGAAGAATAATCTTGATTCTTGAGTGCTAAATCAAAAGCCGCCTTACCCATGTACTACTGTTACTTATCTGAAATCTTTGTCGGGGAAGTGTACGTGTACATGTTTCTTGAAAAGATCACTGGGACTAAACTGAAATGCTCATTATAGGTGGTATAACTAATTTACTTGGCTGCTTGATTTGGGTCCAGAACGTGAGTATAATTTTTTTCAGATATGAGGTATGATCGATGATCCTTAACGCTGTGTTTGGTTTGAAGGGAAAAGTATGGAAAGGAAGGGAAAGGTAGGAAACCTTTACAAACCAAACATAGCCTAAGAGAAACATTCAAACTAACTTTACTAATAAATAATAAATAGATGCATGTTGATGTTGGATTCTTCTCCAATGGGATCAGATTGTGGTGGATCCAAAGCGGCAGCTGATTTGCATAGGATCGAATCAACTGATAAAGCAGTAGTAATATCTGAATTGAACATTCAATGATAAGCATAATGGGAATTAAATGATTTTCGATGTAATATGGTTGTCTTAAAACAGCGGCCAGTAGCAATCTTGACCAGAAACATAAAAAAATACCCCCTCGTTCAAAATTCAGAGAGAAGTACAAGTATCACGTGTTTCGTCAAGGATTCTGATGCATGATCGACACTTAGGAGCATTTGTGGGTTGTTCATTGGTGGCAGGATCAGAATCGAACAGAACAAGTACATTTCATTAATTATAGAGACACAGACACAGTGCACATGGTGATTAAAAGGGAAACACCTCTCAAGTCTCAAGTGACTCAAAAGGAGTGGGTGTTAGATCTCGTCATCCCACAGATCTTGAATTGTCCTGTATGGGCTTGTGGTTCCATTAACAAGAAATTCACCTCTCATGATCTTCTTCTCTTCTAATCTCTCAATCTTGACGACATCCTCGTGGTCCAGTGTCAGCTCTAGAGCCTCCATGTTCTCCTTCATCCTCTCTTGATTGAAGCTTTTTATAATCAGACTCACTCCTTTAGATAAGCCCCAACTTAGAGCAACCTTGATATATACATTCCACAGAATTACCAAAATGTTATGCCGGCCGGGAATGAAGGGGGCTTTCACACAGGTTAATTATTAATCCATTCATTACTCACTCACCTGAGCTGGGGTTGCTTTGTGTTTACGCGCAATGGAACATATGACAGGGTTATCCACCACGGCCTTTGTTCCCCATGGACTCCCTGGCCCTCCAAGAGGTGAATAAGCGCTCACATGGATATTTTTCTCCCCACAAAATTCTCGGAGATTCTTCTGCCTCCACATGGGATGCATCTCCACCTGCGAAATTAATTATGGCGATGATGAACAGAGATCGATCCATGAACCAAAACCAGGGTTGATCGAATGTTTTCATCTGTCTCGAAGATATTCAATTCATGTATAATAATAAAAGCCAAAAGGTATGGATAATCCTACTTATTCAGTTTCCAGTCCATGAGTCAGCCCACTGAACTGAACAAACTATAGCCCGAGCTGAGCAAGATTCCAATCTAACTGTAAGTGAATGAATTTCCTTCACAACCCAAGCTATGAATTCTGTAGGGAATGTTGATGACATACCCCGATAGCACGCCTCAGGATTCGTCTACAATTAATTATAATAATGAGAAAAGCTCACCAGCCACAATCTGCAACTGCAAGACACATTTTGCGGTGCTTTTTGGCCAATAAATGTGGTTAAATCAATAAACAGTTTGAGTGGCTATGTAGAATTAGGATTTTATGCTAGCTTTAGCTACCAAACAGCCCATCTACAATATAAAAGACTGGATCGGCTGGATGATCAAAGGGTCGAATGGTGACTGAAGCCACTGAATCTAGGGGTGTTCATGGGTCAGTTCGGTTTGATTGCAGGCTGTTTGGCCAATAAATGCGCTTAAATCAATAAACAGTTTGAGTGGCTATGTAGAATTAGGATTTTATGCTACCAAACAGCCCATCTACAATATTTAAAAGACTGGACCGGCTGGATGGTCAAATGGGCCGAATAGTTACTGAAGTCACTGAACCTAGGGGTGTTCACGGGTCAATTCGGTTTGGTTGCATGCTGTTTGGCCAATTGAACCGGTTTGGTAGAAGTAAAAAATTGGCCACCTGAAACCGACCGATGACTAGTGAAAACCAACCCTAACTAATGTAAAGAATTGATTTGGTAGGTCGGTTCAAAAGACAGTCAAAAAGTATTTTTTTCACTATGTTTTCAACATATATAAAAGTTATATATTGAATGAAGTAAGGTTTTCACCACCGGTAAATTCGGGTTAAGTTGGTTGGATTGATGAATTTGATTGGTTTCATGAACAGCCCTAATTCAACCCCCCTTGATCGTTTGGTTTGATTGTTAGACATTTGAGCATTCACTGTAGCCATATGGATTTCTTTCCATTTTGACTAAAGAATTCTTAAAACTATCATCATTTAGAGAAACTAACCACCTTTCTGTTGCCTGCTTACAGCACCAACAGAAAAGAAAGAACCTAAATAGAACTATCTTTCTATTTCCTAATTACTGGTGTCACAATACACATCAAATTTTCCTTTTACTATTTTCCCTCAGTACAAAAAAAAAAGAAAAAAAAATTAAGTAGTCTCTGTCTATGGATTGTGAAGACATTTAAAAACATGTCGGCTAAATATTTGGGTTTTTGTTGTTTGGGATATATAGCGCATGTCTCATCTCTCATGTTGATGTCTTGGGAGACCATACTTTGGCTTAACCAAAATACCACTTCTCAGGGATCTTCTATCTACTAGGTCCCACCGGAGTGGGTGGAGATTCAGGCAGAACAACCATGGTTTTTGGTAAAATGGGGATTAAATTGTTTCTGACTTCATGTTCTAACAATCAAGATTCATGCATGATTAATAGGTCTAATCCCAATCCAGTAATATATAAATGTAGTAGGTACCTGATTCACTGCAGGAAGGACAGAAGCGTGTTCCATTAGTCGTTGGATCTTCCGGCAAGAGAAATTGCTTACCCCAATGAACCTGCAAAGCCCCATATCCAAGCACCTCTCCATCCCTGCCCAAGTAGACTCCATGTCCAACTCTTCAAAGTCATCTTCATTAGGTACAGCATAATTTGCCCACACCTTTAGTTTGGCTGGCCAATGTATCAGGTACAGGTCCACATATTCCATCCCTAGGTTCCTACAAAACACAAACAAATTGAAGGACCACACAACCTCCCTCCCTCTTCACTTCTCTCTGTTCAAGAGAAAAGAAAAGACCTATATATATATATATATATATATATATATATATTGTTCCTTACTTGAGAGTTTGCTTGAGTCCGGAAATRGGGTCATGGTGATCAGATCCCCATAGCTTAGAAGTAACAAAAATTTCTTCTCTGCTCACTGCCTCATCATGAATTGCCTCCATTAAAGCACTACCCACGGCAGGTTCCGAACCATATATCTTTGCAGTGTCGAAATGGCGATAACCCATCTGAATTAAATAATACCACAACCTTGTTATATATAAGTAGTTCATATATGCAACTCATCCTACTTCAACGATGAACAATAGAATATATATACCATATTGAAGGGGCTTGAAAATTTTCCCTATATTGAGTACTACAAATTTCACTGCATTGCACCAGCTAGCCATTACCGGCAGAGACGAGGCTGTTTTCCAAAGCCTCGGCTTAAACATGCATTAAACTTAGCGCAGAAAGAAAGCAACATGAAGAGAATGAGGATTGAGCAGAAGTTTTGTACGTACCTTGAGGGCCGTCCATATTGCAAGCTCGACTCTTTCTCTATCATAAGGGAATGCAGCCGTGCCGAATCCCAGAAGGGGCAGCTTGGAACCACTATATAATCTGACTTCCTCGTTTCTCATCTTTGTATCTCTATCTTGCTCACAGCTCACGCATTGTATATCTATATATCTAGCATAGAAGCATGCATTCACTGCTTGGCATATAGGCATGTAGTACAGTAGTACAAAGATTGATGAAGTTAAAAACTAATTGAACTCCTTAAATCTTAAGACGAAACTACCACGTAAATTGTGTAGAGATAACAAAGGTGACACTTGTTGATTGTGAGAGAATATGATAATCAAAATGCAGTGGAATTGGGGGATCGATCCCTCTAGCTGTGGTTCAAGTGTCTAGATCAGTTACTATATATGACCTTTAATTTAAATTCTTAATTATTTTTTAACTTTTCTACATCTGCTTATAAAACTAACGAAATAAAAAAATGATTTGACTCAAGTCAGGAAATAGATCAGAACAAGTCTTACATCATATCCCTAGCTTTTAGCACAACCCCACATTCTGAAGAGAGTAAATCAGCCCCCCACCAAGATTGTGGGGGCACATCTCTTGAACATCTTTTCATGATGACATCATCAATACACAGCGGGGATGTGCTGTGAGACGTTGTGGGAGGCAATCTGGTGCGAGGTTGATTTGAACTCCATTCTGATGCCTTACATGAAGGTGATATATCTCATGGAATTGTGTCCAAAAGGTGGGTCATATTATAATGGTCAGGATCATCGATCCAATCAGGTCTTTTACAATGGAGGACCATGTGGGCCCCAAGATGGGACCAATCATTTGTATAGTTTGGTTTAATTTCAATCTTTGGCTGTATGCTTTACCTATGAAACAGGGTATGGACTAGGGGGGAGGGTTTCTTCTTGCCCACCCATCTTGTGGATTCGTGTGTCGATTAGCCCAAGATATGTTGGACTATCTTTTCATGTGAGATCAGGATTTTGGCATGTTATTACGATCCCAGACATACCCACCTCCTCATGACATTTCCTCCGTAAGAGAGAGAGAGCGAACGCTCTTTTACCCTCATTAACTAATCCAAATAACAGTCTTTAACTATCAAAATAAGTGATGTTAATAAAGTAGCATAAAAAGTAGCCAATTATTTATGAATTATAAATTTTCTCTAATATATATATATATATATATATATATATGATGTGGTTTTCCATTTTATGACAAATTGTGTGCCACCGCAATGATGAGATCATGAAGGCCCACCGATCGATCGACTTGAATTGATAGGGCATATAAAGCAGGTCGGGCATTTGAATTATTTTAAGTGACAGCCTGATTTGAAGGGGTGGGTCCTGTTCTTGTTTGATATGGCCCCACCCCCACCCCCACCCATGGAGTGGTATTTGTATTGTATGCCTTTGTGCCTACGAATATGCCTTGATGGATTGAACGAGGCCACAGCAATTAATGCACAAACTATCCTCAGCTCGCTCATATATACTCCCAACTTTTTTTTTTCTTTTATTTTCTTTGTGCATGGTTGTAGCTAGCTACGAATCTTTATGCTATATATGTGGGAATGGAAGCAAATGTTCTCCTCAATAAAATGAACGTAAATTTCTTCATCAGATTATCCCATTTGTAGAAAAGAACTTTGTTTTTGGCTCCTGATTCATTATTTGCGTTCATGCACGTGATAAGGAAATCAAAGTTCTCGTTCGTTCAAATGTATATATAGCACAAACATTGTATGGTTTTTATTGGAATGAGGAATTGAAGTAGTCAGCTTTTGTGCCATTAATAGCAAAAGAATCCGCATCTGGTACTGGTAGGAACGGGCTTGTCTGCCAAAAATGAAAAGAAAAAGAAAAGTTAATGGTGTATAGCAGAATGCAGAAAGCATAAAGGAGAGCAACTCGGATGGCAACATACGAGATGTTCCCGATGTGTGCAGCTGCAATGTCCTCTGTTGGGAGCACTTTATGAGGGAGAAGATCCTAGTAACAAGGAGAGAGAAAAGAAAGATCAGTTTTTTTCCAAATCAGCCCCCCATAACTTCTCCCCGCCTCGTATTGGAAATAATTTTTGATGATGATATCATCATTCTTGATATTATAATCGGGAGATGTTCTTAATACACAGCGGGGATGTGTTGTAAGACGTTGTGGAGAGCTGATTGAAACTCCCCAAAATAGCCTTAGAACCCACAACAAAAAAAAAAAAAAAAGAAAAAAAAATTTGAAAGTTCCTAATTGCATGAACTTAAAACTCTTTAAAACATTGTATTCTACCGAAACTGCAAATAAAATGATAGAATTTGGGCCCGAGAACTGCAAATAAATCCATTTTACCGATGCGATAAAATTATTTTTAGCATGTTATATGTCAAAAATAGATGCCCAAATCAAAAGTTATGGCCATTTGAAAATTCCATGCTTATTTTGGCCTTTATTTTTTCAATCATGGATTTTTTAAAACTTTTGATCAGCAACTCGTTCTACATCAAGAAAGCACTCGCTGGCTATTATGTTTTAGGCTATGTTTTGGATCAGGGAAGAATTAAGGAAGAGCACATTATATGCTACTTTCTAGATTCCATTGTTTGATCTCATCTTTGCGGTAGAAAAGAAATTGGAAACCAGTGAATTATAACTTTGAAGTTCAACATTTTTGGTAGACATTGAAATTCTTAGGGAGTATTATCTATACAAAGACATCTTTCACGGATTTGAGGCCAGAGACTGATTGAATTCCAATTCCAGTATTATCTATACAAAGACAACTTTTGGGTTGAGGTGTAAAGTGGGTCGTGGGCGTCCCGCGCTAAAGGCAAGCCATGTTGTGCTGGCCCGTTGGCCGTGTTGCCTTTCCAGATGGAAATTTTGGGGGTCGGCTCGGCATGGCCCACGGCCCAGGTCCAAGAGGCCCGTGCCGTGCTATGGGCCTGGGCCGAATCGGGCGACACTATTTTTTTTATTTTTTTGTTTATTTTAAAAATTTTGGTTTCTTTTTTAAGTAAAATTGTAAAACTAAAATATTTAATTTTCCTTTGAACTTTGGAAATTGGAAACTATTTAAAAAATTAAGAAATGAGAAATCTAAGTTATCTAACACATAAATGAAAAAAAATACTTAACCAAATTGAAATAAGAATGATGGAATAACAATTTGAAAGAAAAATAGGAATTTTATTTCATTTAAATTTGAATAATACAAATTACAAATACAATGATTGGATCATTGTATACTTGGATAAATGAAATATGAAAATGAAATAAATTAATAAAATATAAAAAATACAATATGGTTACAAATTGAAAATATAAAATTACATTGTTAAAAAATTAAAAAATATATATATCAAATAAATTAAAAAAATTTACAATAATTTGAAAAAATAAAAAATTCTATACAAGTAGTCAAATTCATGAATCATTTCATGACTTTCATCATCTGCTTCGGGTGAAATATCTGATGTAGTATCATACCCTCCCTTGTCTTCTTCTACATCTAGCCAATCCTTGAAAAAGATGCACATCTCTATGCTCTCATCGTTCATGCACCTTCCTTTGTCATCCAGCACCCTGGTATCTACATTAAAATAAAACTCTGATAGAACTATAGACACCGGAGGGGTTATTAGTTCACATGCCATGGCGGCGAGAACTGGATAATTTTTCGAATGTTCACTCCACTAGGCTAAAATATCAAAATTATTTGATCATTCACCTAAATTGGAAAAATTTGCTTATAAATAAAAATTAAGTTCAATAAATGAACTTGTTGTAGAACTAACAGATTTATGCCTTCTACTTATTAAATAAAAAAGTTTTTCTCTTCTATTACTGGGCTCAAGGTTAGAAGTAGAAGAAGATGATGAACAAGTTGTAGGAATATTTCCTACAACTTCAGATTCATACAAACTGTACATTTCAAATAATAAATCATTAATTTCTTCTTTTTTATTTCCTATATCAATATTCATATTTTCACAATATGATTCAAGTAAAATATCTAAACCATCTTTCCTAATCCTAGGGTTTAATATTGTAACTAAACAATAAAGGAGAGAAATGTTCTCCCAATATTTTTTTAAATTTATTTTCCATTATTTCAATAATACATTGAAATTGTGGATTATTTCTATATTTTGCAAAATAATCACTAATTACCCTTGATTGATAAGGTAAATTACAACTAGTTGGATAATAAATTCCAGATAATTCATTTCATAAAAATGTTTTAAAAATCTCTTATACAAACTGCCATTTCCCAGTATTCCTCAAATATCGTATCATTAGGCATTTTTGAATTATAAAAATCAGTAAGAATTTGTTTATGAGAAATACAACTTTCTAACATAGCATAGGTAGAATTCCACCTATGCTTTACATCTAATATAAAATGTTTATATTTTAAACCATAATTTTGACATAAATATTTAATATCTTGTTTTCTTGCCCATTAACTTTTTATATATATAATAGAATTTCTAATTTTTTAAATATGAATAGAAATAATATTCAAGGCATATTGAATACATAAATTTAAGATGTGACATGCACATCTAATATGAAATAATTTACCATTTAAGGATGGTCTTAATTTTGAGATTTTAAAATATTTATTGCATAATCATTATTGCTAGCATTATCAAAGCTAATAGAAAATAATCCATAAGCATGCAAAGTATTTAAAATACTTGCATCAATAGCTGGGCCACAATGTGGGAATTCAAGCCTAGTAAAACTTAAAATTCTTTTTATTCAAAAGCCAATTTTCATCAATAAAATGACCAATAACACAAATATAACTAATATTAAATTTGGATGTCCAAGCATCCAAAGTAATTGCAACTTTAGAATTAAGATTTGCTAACAAAGAAATTAAATTTTATTTATATGAATAAAAAATTTTTAAAGCATCAGTTCTTATAGTATTCCTAGAAATTTTTTTATATTGTGGGTTTACAGAACTACACAACCGCATTTCTCTAGCTTTGGATCTTCAACTATTATAAATGGTTGTTCTTATAGTATTCCTAGAAACTTTTTTATGTTGTGGGTTTACAGAACTACGCAACCGCATTTTTCTAGCTTTGGATCTTCAGCTAATATAAATGGTTGTTCTGCATGTACAATATACTTAGCAAGTTCTTGTCTCATTTTTTCTTGTGAATATTTAAAAGTACCAAAACCATTCCCTCTCCCAATCTGTGTTTGGGTTGTTTCTCTCCCTTCATCTTCTTCTTTCTCATGTGTGAGCAGATGTCTACTCAAATGACCCATATCACCCTTGCTACAATAACTAA